GTACCCACCACCCACCACCCCCACGCACCCACCCTCGGGTGCAGCCCCCATCCAGAGGTTCATGGACTGCGGAACCAGGTGACCTGCCAGCTCTACGGAGGCAGGGAAGTCAGGGGCGGACCGAGCGACAGAGCCGCCGCTACTGCCGCCGCCGCCGCCAGCGCTCTTTCCTGACGGGAGCTGAGCCCCCGCGAGGCTGAGGAGCGGTTCCGCCACTAGCTGGGGATGACCGTCGGGGGCTACTGCCACCTGCAGCATACATACATACATACATACATACATACATACATACATACATGTGCGTGCGCCATAAGTGTGTGGACCCGGGCCTCAGCTCGTCTCAGAAACCCTTCCTATAAAGAGAGGCTGTACTGAAAGCGGGAGAGGAAGACGGAGAGCTACCAAAAGTTGTTGCTGTTGTACATTCCGCCTTACCTTCCCCTCCATGCTTCCCCCTCCCCCTTTTCCCACTCCCATCTTCAGCTGCAGGTGTCCCTTAAGACTCTACCCGTCACATTTCAAATCTCATTTTCCCCTTCCTTTTCCCCCCGTCCCCCCCTCCAGCTCCCCCCGCCCCCCGAGGGGGGAGACCTCCGCGCCTGCTGGGCTGTGAGGTACAACCTCGTCTCTCCGGCCGCCATCCGCCCCACGAACTCGCCAAAGCTCATCCGCCGCTTCACACCTCGCCCGTACCCCCCGGCAGAGTCCTCCCGAACCTCCACGAGCACGGAAGCATCGCCCTGCGGGTTTTAGTTTGGGTTGGTTGGTTGGGTTCGGTGGTTGGGTTAGTTGGTTGGGTTGGTTGAGTTTGGAGGACGGGAGGAAGGGGGGAAAGGAGGGAGGGAGAGGAAGGAGTGTGGATCCGGGTAATCCAGGGGTTCGTGCCACATTCGCACACGCTGGCGCGTGTTTCAGTTCAGGAATACAGTGAGGGAGAGAAATACCCGACCTGCTGTCGAAACCCTCCTGGAGTCTAACTCGGTATCATGGATGTTCGACATCAACATTCGGGGCCGAGGTTGCCACAAATGCCACAATTGCCACATTCGCCACAGGACATCGGAAACACAATATGATAGAAAAAACAACGACGCAGATCAGCCGGGCTTAGTTTTTCCCTCACCGCTTTGCTGCTGAGGTACTGGTCGGTCCAGAGGCTGCTCGCCCTCCAGGACAGATCGGTAGGGTGGCCGCGGATGAGGGCCTGAAGGGGTGTAAGGGGTGAGGAGGGGGTTGTTAGGAATTGCGGGTCAGGGAAGAGTTGCGGGGCGGGGGGCGGGGTGCAGCGTTGACCCGCCACAAGTTAACAGCCCCGCGTGCCCGTCCCTCCTTTCCTCTTGGTGGTGCGAAACGAGTCGTTGCGGCGCCATCCCCTTTTAACCGCACCCCTCACCGGCTTCCGCGCTGCGATGTGAGCCGCCCAGAAGCACTCGGGAGTAATTGTTGAAACATCTAGTTCCGCCACGGCCTTGTCGTCGGCCTGCATCACAGTGAACACCGCCGCACAGACTCCGTAATTGACGCTCAATACCAAAAATGTCCACGTATTCCGAAAAACAAGCCTACCTGGCTAAGCTTTACAGACTTCACCATTTATCCAGGCTGTTCTCTGCCCAGTTGCTTGCAAAGCAGCGAACCACAATTCAACCGTTCTAACAACGGAACGCTGAAAATGATTATAACGGCCAGTCCATAAACGGACTTTTTTTGACCTTCATGGAGCCAACTAAGAAGCAATACATCTAGCCGCCCTTGCATTTTTTGTTTTTGTTGCTGGGGGGTCTCGGAGCCGAGACTGCCATTACAGGACACAAAGATTATTATCGTCGAAATTGCGCATGAAAGCTGTGAATTTGTGTGCAAAAAATGAGGAAGTCGTCCTTGCCGTTTTTCCGTGGCTCAAACTCGCCATGGAACCGCGGGTCAAAACCTACCTGGCGGCATAGCATCTGCAGGGCCCCTCCGTCCCCTTCCACCTGCCCGCATGACCTTGGCTCATAGCCAAACCTTTGCTTGGCATATTTGGTCACAAGCAAAGACGAGCACCCTTCCTGAAAACGCGCGCCAATGAAACGCTAAAACTGTTGTTGAAGTGGATTGTATTTCATTACAACATTATGATGTGATGATGACACACAAGTTTCACGGAGCAAAAACGGAATCAACGTACTCCGCCTCAATTCAAGTGGCAACGGCCCCTTCCAACTCAAAGCCACAGAGGCATCAAATATTTACATCGTTGTCAAAATCCAAATCCAGCGCCTGGCGAATAAGCGGCGCCAGCTGCACCACACTAACCACCTCTTCATACGCCTCCCCAGACACATCGTAAAAGGGCGCCGCCTCGTACGCCGCCATCAGTCGGGCGGCAGTTATTTCAGCAGTGGTCAAGGCTCGGGAGGAGCGCCGGCCGCCACTACACAACTCCTCCTTGACAACCTGAGCAAAGATTCGGTTTAGGGGAGTCGGTTGGTGGCGGTTGTCGTCGGTTAAGGAATAGGGCGGCAGAGCTAATACATGAAGACGGAGCTTAAGAGGGAAGGAAACATCCCCGCCCTCCTCCCTCCTCCCACCTCCGTATGTATGTACGTACGTTACATACACAAAAGGGATACGTGCGGATACCCCCCCAACCCCCCACATCGCCCCACAACCCTGTACGGAACAGCCACGTCGGCCACGACCCTCACGCCCACGCTGTTGCTCCCTAGACTTCGCATTCACATTTCCGTTGGAACGTGCCAGACACTCTCACATACACACACCATATCTAACACCAGTGAATGGTGACAGCAGTAATAGGACCCCGGGGGGGGGATCCGGGGCGCTTTGCTGAGCCTAACAACAGTTCCTAACAATTCCTTCTCACCCACGGCTCACCCACGTCTCCAGCCTCCTCTTCCCCCTTCCCCCTTTCTTTCCTTGGCAGCAGCTTCACCCGTTCGTAGTTCGTCTTTCCCCCCTCCCTCCCCTCCCCCCNACCTCCCCCAACCCCCCTCCCCCCCTCCCC